AGAAAAAAACGAAGAGGCGAATCAGAGAACCAACAAATTAAATTGGTGTGGCCTAAGAGTAACAGTATTTGATTTGGGAATATGTCACTTGGCAGGATTTTTGACTCATGTACATGAATGATATGGGGGGGGGGAGTACTGTAGGCATTTCTTGATATTGTCTAACTATTCCTTGTAAAGAAACTAGAATGGCAACATGTGCAAGGAACTACGTGCACTGACTGTTAAAACATAATTGCCGTGGGACATGATTGACTGTGCATTTTGGAGTGCCTGTATACAGTGCTGTGTCCCCATACCAGCTCAAGATTAAAGTGAGTGGATATCATAACACTTTACATGGTGAGTGGCTTGATTTTTCTGTACTGTGAAACTGTGTGAAGGAGCACAATGCCATTGTCAAACTTTAAGGATGATTTACATGAACACTATTTAATTTATAGATCTTCAGACACAAAGTACTAGCGATCATCATTTTCATTTAATTTATATGTACCGGTATATTAGATACATGTATATGGACTATCAGTAAGTTGTCATCTACACATAAAATGTACCTGGTAAGTTTCCTTCCATGTTGCATATTATTACAACTTATTACAACAATTTGTCAATTTTTCATTATCACTGGTGTGTAATTTCCAGTAATCATCATGGTAACATACATGTACAAGTACACATGAACACCTTACTAGTATGTTACTGTTACAACTACAATGTACATGTATCTTACAAGAACATGCCCGTAGCCAGGATTTTGAATGAGGGGGTTCTTCCCTCTGCTTGAGGGGACCTCGAGCGCCGAAGGCCGGGGGGTCCGGGGGCATGCTCCCCCTGAAAATTTTGAAAAATGAACCTTCTAAAATGGCATTTCGTGCATTATTGAGAGGATTTCCAAGAAAAATTTTTATTCAATGAGAAAGGGAGCAGTTTTTCTACGATTCCAGTCATCTTTTCCAGAAAAATCTTGGACCTTTACATAAAAAGTGGACCAAAAAGTGGACCTTTACATAAAAAGTGGACCAAAAAGTGGACCTTTACATAAAAAGTGGACCAAAAAGGACCTTTGAGCCTTGTGGGGGTGTTCTTCCGAACCCCCTGGCTACGGGCATGAAGAAATTTTCTTCCAAGCCTCAGTAATGATCCTATTCAATGAAATCACTGCCTTCATTCCTCACTTAGCTTGTTTTGAACTTACACTGTGTGGTCGGACACAAGAATTATAGCACTGTTTACACAAACTGAACTTCTAACACTCTTCACTTGACCCCTTTCCTGTGGAACGGTTATCTTCTTGTAACATCACAGACAACTCTGCCGTGCCGGGCCTCCGCTGGAATGTGTCACTAATCCAAGTACTAGTACACAACATCACATCCTGCACCTCTACAAATCCAACTGACATCTCCCGATGACCAACAGTCGGCTCCTTCAAAAACTTCTCTACAAATTCCTTAACCAAAGCTCTATGTGTGGACGGTATGTCCATACCGGTGCTTTTATCAATGGCGGAAATTAATTTTCCATAAAGAAGACAAGAGTTTGTTCCTTCTTGCGACTGTGAGAAGTCTTTAGGGATTGCTTGAGTGACTATTCTGTCGACCAGTTTCTGGGTGACCGGTCCTGGTTTCCCGTGCTCTAGGAAGAGTGTGAGTAAAGCGACCAGGCTTGGTGCGACGGTGTCGTCGTTGTTGTGCATGTTTGTCACAGTTTGGAGCAGTAGCTGGTTCCAGGGCTGGTTCATCAGATGGTCCAGCAGGGTCTGGTCTCTGGGCTGGATGTATGCGAGGAGCCCAGACATACAGTTGACAACTGCACAGCACAGGAGCTCCTCTTGCAAGACCATGATGTTCTATAAATATAAATAAAAAGCAGACAATATTAATCATGAATATTTAAATGAACAGAACTAGTCTATTGTACATGTACATGTAGATTTTTCTTCAAGAAGACTCTTTCTTCCCAGAGACAATTGTCCCAAAAAGATACACATGTCCCACCAAGATACACATGTCCCACCAACATACACCTGTCCCACAAAGATACACATGCCCCACCAAGATACACATGTCCCACCAAGATACACATGTCCCACCAAGATACACATGTCCCACCAAGTACACGTACATGTCCCACCAAGATACACATTTGTTTATTTGTTTATTTAAATTTTTCACAAAGTGAAAGGGATGGCAAAACAGGTGCGAAGCACCTTTGCTAGTTGCCCTCCCACATACAAAAACAACAAGAATGTACATTACACAGTCAACAATCTATAATACAAGTAGGGCACAAAATATCATATAAACATAATCAAGGTAACAACAATGAATGGAAGAGATAACCATATCGGAACGATATCTAGTGAGGTCTTGAGGCAATACAAGAGCTACATCCACACGAAGTGGTCCAGGTACATGGCAGATCAAGACTGTATTGAGTGTTGAATCTGTTGTAGGCTACTTTTGCCAGTTTATGTTTAAATGCTATGATATCAGACTGATGAGCGGCTCGCACACCAGTACCACGGAGGTTAGAACCTAACTTATTCCAGATAGTTACAAGTCTGGGAATGTAGGAGTGACTGAACGCTGACGTCTTAGATCTGACAGGTGTAAGCATGTACGACCTAAGACTCCTCGTGGGTCTGGTAGGAAGTGTGATATATTTCTCTATGATTGCTCTTGATTTGACAAATAACATCATATCATGTCCCACCAAGATACACACGTCCCACCAAGATACACACGTCCCACCAAGATACGTCCCACCAAGATACACATGTCCCGCAAAGATGTGTACACTGTACACATGTCCCATAAAGATACACATGTCCCATAAAGATACACATGTCCCATAAAGATACACATGTCCCACAAATATACATTGTACACCTGTCCCACCAAGATTCACATGCCCTACCAAGATACACATGTCCCACAATGATACACATGTCCCACAAAGATATGTGTACACTGTACACATGTCCCATAAAGATATACATTGTACATGTCCCAGAAAGATATACATGTCCCACAAAGAGTACACTGTACACATGTCCCAGAAAGATACATATGTCCTGCAAATATACACATGTCCCACAAAGATACACACATTAATAGTCAATTGCTAAAGAAGTTGTAAATGTTGATACCAGTACATAAAAACGTAACAAGACTTATAGTAAAAGGTTGAACTTTATTCCAACACACAATTGTACAGGGATCAAATTTTCAGCGACCACTGTCGCCTTCATCAGGATAATTAATGACCAATTACTTCACAACGTGATCTCGCGAGAATTACGGTTTACAAACACGTGACCTTATTCACACGAGATTTTACTGATACGTGACGTAAGCAATTGATCAAAAGTGCCAGGGAGTTTATATCGACTTAGTTAACAAGACTTAGTAATTTAACTACCAATTTAAACTTGGAAAACTCCTACCTGCAGTAATAAGAAGATGAGAGTGATATGATGTGAGGAGACTCCCAGGTCCATCCTGACTACTGGTGACTGGAGGGACACACCAAACATGGAGGCCAGGAACCACACAGCACAGTACAGCTGGAGCGGTGTTCTGTCACAGGTCAGCATCTCAACCAACAGATCTGTTTCATGGGGAAGACATGCATAATTTAAACTAGAAAGGCCAACATTTGCTCGGGAGCAAATGCAGCAGATAGCTTCACCACATCCTCCATACCAAAAATGGATCCATCACACGATGGCTGCAAATAGTCTATACCCCCATACAGCAATGGAATCTTCCAATGCCTTCTGTTGGAACATGTAGAAACAGTGTTTTAGAACCAGTGTTAGAACTGTGGGGATTTGGGTTTTCAAGCTACAATCGCTTTTTGTACTAAAAGTAAGGTAAATAAAAGTATTAAGTAAAAGTATAGAAGGTATATAAAAGAATAGTGAACACTATTATTATATATATAATAGTAATCACAATATGATTTGTTGAAATACCTGTCTCCACAAGCACAGTGTAGTCGCAAGTCACTTTGAACTGGGCCTGAAGCTGCACTAAAGCACCGAGTAACTGTGCGGCACAGCTCTGCAAACTCACGGCCTGGTCTTCTGACACTGTTTCCTGACTGGAATGCAGATGACAATTTACTTTCATGTTGCTTTAAATATGGGTTCTACATGTTAGTATGTTTCAACTTCAAGGAAAACAACATGTGAACAGAATATATATCAACAAATTTAATTAGTTGGCTCTCTGATTTTTTTTTTAGAGAAATATGAAAAAACAGGGCGAAAAATATGAGCATTTCAGAGTTGCTTCAGAGCCTAAAATGTTTTTTTTTTTTTTTGTAATCAGAAAAAATGAAGCGGGTGAATCAGAGAAACAATTGATTAAATTGGTATGGCCTAAGTGGTGAAAAAGATGCTTCCTCAAAATAAGAGCAAAAACAGTGTACTTATTAACCTAGTCAGGAATAATTACCTATTAAAGTGCAAGGAAGAGAAAAAAATCAGATGATTATGAATTCAGCACCAAGGACAGCACTTGTAACCAATGAGTGACATTGTACTACTCTCAAAGCAGAGGTTTGGGTTCTGGCGTATTTTTGGCCTATTTTTTTACTTTCTTATCGGGGTTTCTTTTTTGCATTTGAATTTTTCTTTCACCCAACCCAACCTCTGCTGGCAGTCAAAAGCATCAATGCGCTATAAACCTAATCTCTTCAACACATTATGGTCGTTCTGCAAGTAGGACTAAGGTGCGAACCAGACGCATGAATAGGCACAGTCAGCAGGAGGCGTGTGGCCGAATGAATGCCTTCCTGACTGGCTAGATGTGTGATAATCCACCACAGTAAAATGGATATCCCTAATGATAATTTGATGGTTCCCGGGGAGGAGCACTGTCATGTTTTTGAATAGGTTTGCCCCGCCCTGGGTGATTGCTGGCAGAGGTTGGGTTGGGTGAAGAAAATTCCAGTGCAAAAAGAACCACGATAAGAAAGTCTAAAAATACGCCCAAAATAACCCAACCTCTGCTTGGAGAGTAACATTGTACCTGAACATAGTTCCAGTCAGCAGGTCTTGCAAGAGCATAAGGACGGCATCGTTCGACAACAGTATGGCCAACAGTCGAGTGTCCTTCCTCGCAGACGTTCCCAGAAGAAACACCGTGAGATAGTTCAGACTCGCCAGGAGCACTCTGCCACTGACGGCACACTTCGTGATCGTACTGACGACTTGGTGAACAAGCTTCAGATTCAGATTGTCAGTCGTGGTGGCTCTCATTTGCTCGTAGGCGTGGACACGGCAAACAAGTTGCAAGACTACAGCAACAGTGTGGTCTGATTCGTGCTTGTAAGATGCCAGCAGCTTGAGTAAGATGTTAGGCAGTTTGTAGTTCAAGAGTGTCTGAAAGCAAGGGTTTTCAGCGGATGTGTTGGAGACAATGGATTGTAATATATCCAGAGCTTGTGTCGCCATATCCCCTCCTCCCTGTACAATAAGGTCCATCAGACATGAGCTTGCAGCAGAACTCCTTAACAACAGTTTGCTCAGAAACTCACTGTTCTCTGCTTCTTGTGTCTGATAGATGGCTGTCTCACACATTGTTTTGTCTGCGCATCTCTTGTTCCAAAGCCAGGCTTCCAAGAACACAGGACCAATCACCCCCGCCAGTTCTGAACTCCTGAAGCACCATTCCAATAGATCTGGGTGGTGAGTGTACAGCATCAGTGGTTCTTTGATTGTCGTCAAAGCCTGTGTCAAAGGTAGCGACCATGTATCCAAATAGCTTGTGTCAGATATTGGAGCAGATATTGCCAACAGGAAGACGAGATGCTTCATTGTGTAAAGCGGGAACAGACTCAATGGTTCCTGGTCTATGCACACTAACAGAGCTTTGTGAAGAGACAGTTCATCAACCATCCTGTCACTGTATAGATAGGAATAATACAGGATAGCCAGACACGCTTTGTGCACTTTGTGAACCAGACACTCCCTATCTGTGCTCTCAAGATCTGACTTCTCCGTAAGCAGTTTCAACAGGGACTGTGGTTCACCGTTGATGTGGGCAAGTATGGGGAGTAGTTCTTTGGCCAGGAAATTCTCTTCTTCCACACATGAACATGGCATCTCTTTCTCTGTTGTAGTCATTGACAGAACCGACAAAAGTTTTCCGACGAAGAGGTTCACAGCCTGTTGCAGGTTGTCACCCGAGTCTCCCGTGCAAAACTTTGCCTTCACTTCCAGGGACAGCCTTAGGAAACAGGAGGATGCGAGCTTGCAAGACAAGACACTCATCGCATCAGGCATCAACTGGTAGTGCAGATTTAGGATGGAGAAAATGTTCACGAAGACCCGTCTATCTGTGATGTACGGAAGGTTCTGCATGACCAGTGGGATGAAAACTTCGTCGGTTTGCTGGAAGAGGAATTGTACAAAACTGCCGACCTTGGTGCTGGAAGACCTTCCGCTACCATCAGAGGACTGGGACCCAGCAGGAGCAGCAAATATCGACTCATCAGCAAGGGGGTCTTCCTTACACGCCACCGCAAGGTTGCAGGCACTGCGAAACACTCCAAGCCCCTCTTGGAGGAGGTTTTGCACTTTCGACATGTAGCTGTTCGCTACCATATGGGACTGTGCTTTAGTCTTGACCGATGTATCACTCACAAGAGAATCCTGCATCACAGGCCAGGCTTTCAAGTTAGAAACCACTAAGGTTAACACGTTCTGTAGGTCTGTATACGGCACGGGTGATGGTTGGTGGTCCCTCCTCAGAAATGCCGACAGCGCCGGGAGCACGTAAACAACCAGGTCGGCATTGCAGGCCTGCAGCCCGGAGACAAACAGTTGGACAAACTGCTGGTATCCCGCCGTGCTGCTCAGAAGGCTGGTGTTGGAAGACTGGTTGGACAGGATTTTTGCCAGCAGCTGGAAGCCGGAGCACTGCACGCCGGTGGCGGCAGACTTCAGCGACTGGTGAACGCCTCTCACCACGGAGTCTATCCCGTACAGGGTGTGCCCCTTCTTGAAGAAGGCCTCGAAGTCAGCAAACATCAGAAGGCTCTGGAATATGGAGTCCAGCAACGGTTCACTCGTGGTCGCTAGTGCTTCGAACAGGAATTCAGCGATGTCTCCGTTCAGCAGGAGATTGGCATAGTCTGACTCCAGGCAGCCGTCCAGAACGTGCTGGAGGATGGTGGACACCGCTCGCACCCCAGCAACCTTACAAATTAAACAAATAATTCATTATAGAGTCAAACCACTAATTACTATACATTTCATACCTGAAATACTGGATCTGAGTGTTCTAGCCAGGCTAAATTTTTTTCCGTCATCTCAATTTTGTTTCACGTAACATCAAGCCGTGTGCTAAGGACGGTATGTTACGTCGAAGGGCGGTCGTACCGGCTATACCGATACAAACAACCATTTAGAAATATTTTAACATCCAAGACACTTTTTTCTGCAGTTTGGGGGGCAAATTTTGCTGGAGGACTAAGCTGAAAGAATGAAAAATGATGGATTGTCCCAAATTTTTGTCCCTCACAAGCAGCAAAATTCAGACAAATGACAGGTGCTGGCTAGAACACTCTAAAGAAAAGATGGAATGAATGAATGAATGAATGAATGAATGAATGAATGAATGAATAAATGAATGAATGAATGAATGAATGAATGAATGAATGAATAAATGAATGAATGAATGAATGAATGAAGGAAGGAAGGAAGGAAGGAAGGAAGGAAGGAAGGAAGGAAGGAATGCACGAACAAACGAATGAATGAATGAATGAATGAACGAATGAATGAAAGAACGAACAAACAAACGAATGACGTACCTGGATGTTTGCATCTGGGGCCATGACCATCTTTCGCAAAGCGGAGCACAGTGTAGCTCTCCCTCCATCTTGCTCAGATTTAGGCACTGCAACTTCCCGAGCCAACACCCTGACGTTGTCCGGGTGATCAAGAACGGTCAACAACAGCCCCATGCCGTTGGTCAGCACATCTGTGGCTTCTTCTTTCACCAGAATGGACAAAAGACCGGGAGAAATCTCCCTCACGAGGGCTACCCAGTCCGGATGGTCCACGTCACTCACGGTCGCGCAAACTTTAGCCAGGAGAAACAGTATGGCCGACTTGATTTTTCTGTCCGGATAGTCCAAACCGGTCACCAGGTAGTCCAGAAACGTCATGTCGTGAGAGATCTTCAGTGCCAGGGGAGGGATCCCGTTCAGAAGCCTCCCTAGTAGCACAAGTCCGGGGAGACTGCTCTGGAAACTGGCGAGTTGGAGAATTTGCGTGGAAACGTGCTCCAGAACGAAGCAGGCGATCTCCTCGGATTTTAACAGACAGCACAACTGCGCTGCCGTGTCAACCACCGTTGCGGACAAGTTCTCGTTTTCCGAGGGCAGGAGCTGCAGCGCGGTGGTCAACAGCGATACGGCGATCTTGTCGTCCATAAGCAGCATCTCCGCCAGGCTTTCCCTGTACTGAGTCTTCAGCAAGTTTGTGACTTGCGTGAGAAAGGCGCACTTTTTGATGACGAGTGCGTGAGGGTCCTCCAGGGTTTCCAAAACACACACTAGGCACACTGTAGAGCTGAGCCCGGTCTGGAGCTGCCAAACTGGGTCATGCTCGTCATGGGAGCCTGTGAAAAGTGACCCGTACCGTCCCTCCATGTCTATTTTGTATCGAAACAGCGAAGGGAGCTACAATTTAACGTTATAGCTCCTTGACCAAAAATATACTTTCTGTCAGCGCCATCTTTGTGACCTCACATCAAGGTCATGCATCAAGGTCATTTAGTACACAATCCGCAACTTTGCACACACAAAAGAAAGAAATATTAGTGTTTTAAAATGCACTGAAAATTTCACGAAACACTCAATGCGACCAGTAGAATTTTGTAAACTGAAGGAAACTTAAATTTCGCGGACTTTTTCTGACCTTTGAACTAGATGATGTCATTAGCATCTGGCCACCGTATCAAAACGCAACGTAAACTTTCCTACATTTCCTGCAGGTAACTTGATAAAATGCACATATTTACAACTAAATAAAACTAGATATTTCTTAAATATTTTATTGCAATATCTTATAGTTCATAATACCGATATTACTTCGATTCCAGTACTTTGTCTATAATTTTTATGTGCGTTTATGTGCTATTATGCCGGAAATGACAGCCCAGTGTTTCCGCGAAGAGGAAAACATTGCGAAGATCTGACTATGATTTTCCCCGCATAAACCAACAATCTGTCGGGATATCACGGAAACAAAATGTCGAGAAGGTACCAGATGCTTCGGGCCGACATCCGATGTGTTATAGGCGCCTGCAAAGACGATTCAACGTGCCCTTTTTCAGGTAAATTCAAGGTGTTTTTTTTTGTTACGTTTTGGGTAGCGGGGGGGGGGGGTCTGGGATCATGACCTTTCAGTTTTAATTCCTGTAGAATATGAGAGTATATTTTCAAGGATTTTACACGGAGTATGTGATCTTTAGATGGGCTAACAACACTCTTTTTGCACTGATAGTTTGACGTTTCGTAATCAACTTGCGACAGGCAAAAATTATGTGGCTGCATCTTCATAAAATACATTTATAATTTTCCTTGAGATTCATGAGAATTTTATAACCAATCCAAATATTGAGATTTTCCCGACAATAGACGTTACAGAGTTATACGGAGCACACACATATTTTCTGCCTGTTAGGTCATGTTTCTCCGTGACTGGTCATAAATTATTCTCTCGCAACGTAACAATTATGTTTGATGTCATAAATGATGTTATAAGATTATGTTATGAATGTGCAAACAAAAGAAATTTTCTGTTCCTTCTTCCTTCATTTCTCGGTGTTACCAGTAAGGCCACAGCAAGTAAATTTTATGGATGACATCCTTCGCAGACTCCAAATCTAATGCGAGGCCAAAAAAAAAGTTCCTACATTTTAAAATTTTGACTCAAACATTGTACAAATGCTTTTGATTCAGTAGGAACATCACATATCACTGCATCAAAGTAAGAAACAAAACATTAAATCAGAGCCTTTTCTTGTCTCCTCTCTTCATAGTTATCTGCCATCCACCTTCCGGCATGGCAACAGGCATCTTTGCCCATTTTCGGCATGTTGGCCACTGTCAGAAGGCAACAAAATTTCTTGTGTTTTTTTTTCCAAATAATGCGCGCATTGATGTCATCCATAAAAATTACTTGCTGTGGCCTAAAATAAAAAGAAAACATGGTTAGGTGGCAAGTGAAAACAGATGTGTGTCCAAATTGTCAACACATGGATGTGCCCAGCTGGAAATGTGATGTGTGATGCCTGGGGTGACATTTATCTTTCTTACTGTAAATCACCTCATATTCACACTCACAGTTAGTGGTGCATACCTAAACCCACATTTAGGTTCAGGTCCGGATTCAAGTCCAGAGGTTTAGGTTCAGTTCCGGACTTGTAAGTCCGGACCTAAACCCATGGCATATACAAATTGCATGTTGGCAACCTTGCAATGTTGTCTGAGTGAAACTTTGGCCACATAACATGGAGGCCGGTACTTGACGATGCCCGATGGCAATGTTTTCTTCATTTTGCAGCAAAGATTTTACAATCTACAGAAGGTTTTAGGTGGTTTGGAAAGAAAAGGGGTATGTGAGATGGTCTTTTATGGTAATAAGTCCGGACTCGGTTCTTGACTATTAGTTTTTTGGACTTGAACCTAAACATTTTTACAAGTCCGGATCCAAGTCCAGTGAACCGGTATGCATCACTAACACTCACAGCAGCAAAACTTCCCTGTCTAAGAAAAATGGACATGTTCACAGAACTAGATGCTTACGGTGGTGGCAGGTGCAGAAGAAAGAAAATTGCCAAATTATTTGTTTGCGGTAAATGATAGATTTGTTTGCGGAACAGAAGTGACCATGAAAACCCGCGAATATGACAATACAGCGAATCTACAGTAGGATTGATATGCTCCATTTCTGTTGTCAATGATAAGCCTGTATTCATTTTAGCCTGGGTGCCATCCTCATTTTCCATGGATCCTATAGTATACATAATTATACTCCCACCACAGAGGTAGAAAACACTAGCAGTAACTTCTAGTATCTGATGGTTATATTCTAGCTGTTAGGCCACACCAATTTAATTTGTTGGTTCTCGGATTTTGTCAGAAAAAACATGAAGCGACAGGGCGAAAAAAAATAAAAATAAAAACAGGTATAGGCATCCTATTATAGTCCCAAATGCTATGATAGGAGCCATGAAGTCATCACAAAAGGTTGTGTTAATATTTAAACAATGAATTTTGAACTTTTAATCAAACCACTGCATTGATAGATGGAAACACTGCAACAACTAGGAAGAACAAGGACTTTTCTCAATTGTTGGGGGCAAAATATGAGCATTTTTTAGTTGATTCAGAACCAGAATCTTTTTTTTTTTTTTTTTGCAAATCAGAAAAAAATGAAGAGGCGAATCCAAGAACCAACAAATTAAATTGGTGTGGCCTTAGTTTCAGTTTGCCTAGCCTGGATGCCAGACTCTGGCATGGCACCACACAACCCCATCCCAGATACTGTAAATCACTTTACATTTTGCAGTAGCAAAATTTCACGGTCTGAGAAAAATGGACATGTTCATGTTCATGGCGGCAGGTTCAGAAGAAAGAAAGTCTGTGAATTATTTGTTTGTGGTACTGATAAATTTCATAAAATGCAAATATAGAAAAACTTGCAAATATGAAAAAATGATTTACAGTGTATAGAGAGTTGACTCCCAGGGTATACCTGTGGGGAGTAGTCTATGGTAAAATTTCCTTGGCCCTGGAGCCCAGGAGCTAGCCTACAGGAGGGCCTGCAAGGGGGGATCCCGACAACGTTCTACGCTGAATTCGGAAACCTCTCGAATCGACGATTACGCTTTACAATGCATTCCAAGTGGCTACAACGCATTGCGTAGAATTAAAACGGCGAATACGCTCTACGCAAAATGTGAAGAGCGGTCCGTCTACGGTCTACGTAGAATTAAAATGGCCAATTACGCTCTACGGAAAAGGGCTTGCGGGCCCCCCTACAGTATATGCTCCTGGCAACAGTCTGGCACCCAGGCTTACTAGTAGATTGTGTTGCGTATAAGAAATTGAATTATGTTACCTTTGTTCAAGGTGATATATATCTTTCTTTTCAGATTTTGAGCAGGGAGAAAACTTGATCACCTTCAACTACTCCAACAACAATGAAGGGTACGTACATTTATATTGGCTTCAGTTGAACCTGAGACATGCTATTTTTAGCAACACTGTTCCAGTTGTTGCCTTCCAGGCATGCAGCCATATGTGAGTGACAGGTCTGCTAGTAATTAAGTCATGTAAGATGAGCCAAAGTATAGGAAGTGGTCGGGCCTAGTAAAAAAAATGTTGTGTTTCCATGTTTCAGTCCTGAAAAAATTAGGGTCGGTTTTGTAGATATTATCTTTTTTTTTTAGAATTCAGTGATTTCTATAGGGGTCCAACTTTTATAATACAGTTTAGGCCACACCAATTTGATTTGTTGCTTCTCGGATTTTTTCAGAAAAAAAATGAAGCGACAGGGAAAAAAAAAAACAGGCCAAGGCACGCCATGATAGCTGGAAATGATACAATAATGAGCCATGAAGTGAACATACATGTACCAGGCTGGTTTATAATTAAAACAATAGATTTTGAACTTTTAACGAAACAAAATTGCATTGTTGCATTGAAAACTTTAACAACTAGGAAGAAAAGGACTTTCTGTTTGTTTCTTCAACCATCAGGGCCAAAATATGTCTTTCATTGAGCATTTTGCAGTTGATTTAGAACAAAAAAATTTTTTTTTTTTTGCAAATCAGAAAAAATGGACAGGGCAAATCCGAGAAACAACAAATTAATTTGGTGTGGCCTTAACAAAGTAGAACTTGTGTGGACACTTTTATGTCATTTCAATAATATTCTCACCTTGTCTCACACAGTACTAAATGTTTTCTCACAGGAAAACTTACACCATTCACCTGTCAGAGGATTATCCAGGTAAGAAGATTCAGTGCAAGATTTTAATAAACACATCCAAATGCGATTTTAGGGTGGCAAAACAGCAGGATTTTCAAAGTCAATTTTTTTTTAGAACATAGTAGGATTCTACTTAAGTTGGATCAATCCTATCCCATGGATACTGATAATATGAGGGCCTGCATGGGGGGTACCGGTAGTGATTACAAATTACACAAAATTTTCGCTGCCAATTACGAATTACGTTTAAGTCTCAGAGCTGATTATGACTTTACGATTTGTGGCTAATGTCCTATTACGAATTACGTTGATTTTTGCGGAGGGTGCCTACGAATTACGAAGTCTAAAAAGGCCTGATTATGCCTTACGAAAAAGGGCATGCAGGCCCTCTTGTACTTAGTAAGCAGTTCAGTGATTGAGCCAAGTAAGCTAATTCTAGCATCTAAGCAAGGACACTTCTGTATAATGTCCTTGAACTAAGGCAATTTGCCACACACTTTGCTCCCAATTGTAGGCCCACAAGAGCCAAATCTAAATTGGCCGATTGACTTAGCACAGCATGACTCAGCAACCAGGAAAAGAAAAACCTTTTTAAACCTTTCAGTTGATTGGTCCCTGATTTTCAAGGTTGGGTGGACCGTGCCCTTAGGAAGGAATGTGGATAAGGCCACAGCAAGTAAATTTTATGGATGACATCCTCCGCAGACTCCAAATCTAATGCGAGCGGGCGAAAAAAAAACAAGGCGGGCCGAAAAAACAAGATTCCTACATTTTAAAATTTTGACTCAATCATTGTACAAATGGTTTTTATTCAGTGGGAACATCACATATCACTGCATCAAAGTAAGAAACAAAACATTAAATCAGAGCCTTTTCTTGTCTCTTTTCTTCATACATCATAGTTATCTGCCATCCACCTTCCAGCAACAGACATCTTTGCCCATTTTCAGTGGTGACCACTGTCAGAAGGCAATAGAATTTCTTGTTTTTTTTTCCAAAATCAGGCGAAAATCAATGCGCGCGCTGATGTCATCCATAAAAATTACTTGCTGTGGCCTAACTGAGAAGTTCGTTAATTAGCTACAGCTATGTAGCATAAGTTGCTATTGTGCTGACGTGATTTTAAATGGTTTATAATGATTAACTGCATGATTGTAATTAATTTTAAGGTGATGTATGAATTGTGTGTGTAGCCATATTGATTTTTGCTAGTTTTTCTGGTCACATATGGTAGCAAACGGGGTAGAAAATATTCTTAATAAACCTAATATTTATATTCTTTATCAAGATCGCACAATTCAGCCAGATTTTCTAGCTGGTTGCAAGCTGGATATAATGTGGTTTTGATATGTGCTATTTTCTATCAATAGACCAATTTATTATCATATTATTATCATTATATTATGTAAGCCTTGATGTCATAAACAGTGTAACAGTTGTTGTATGTATTATATCAGTCTTGTCTTCAAAATTCCAGTCTAAATTCTGCAAAATTCCAGTCTAAATTCTGCTGTTTGTGGTAATTTGTCTAAATCCTGTATCAGACTCAAAGCTACCTGGTTACAGGTACCTCAGAGCATTCTGCTCAACCTTAGGATATTTTCTGCCAAATATAGCTCTACTTACATATTATCCACAGGATTTACTGCATTATGCATCAGCCACATTACAGATTCCAGTGTTCTGATGTAATTTGACGCACCCAAACGTTCAAAAGGGTTGTTGCCAGGCTGCTTCTGTGCGGCACATCACATGAATCATAATTATAAATACCTCAAGGTGCAGACAATTCAATGTGTTACACAACATGTACATGGCTGCGTCTACTAGATAAACAAACATGCGAACAGTTCACAGATTTTCTTGTTCAAAATTGTTTAAAATGTCTTGGAAGATATTGCCAGATCTTTTTTATGAAACCAATTTGCATACTTTAAAAGAACTGCATTTTGTTATGTCTAAAATGTCATGTATTTTTTATCAGGTGTAGTATTTTTAGAAATTCAATGGTTCTAAAAATAGGGTAGTACAGCACTGTACTTGATAAATCATTTTTCACTTCAGTCTTTACCTGGAAACACAGGAAAGAGGTTTATACTCATTTTACTCTAGGACATGCTACTATTGCTAGGGTAACAAAGTAACGAACAAGACGATGGAACAAAGCAAAGGTAATGGTAAGCAATGATTACTAGTTCCTCTTTCAGAGGTAGTTACCTTTGGAAAGAAGGTTATGTTTTCATGGCACTGTGTATATTGTACAATGTACATGTGTGTGTGTGTGTGTGTGAACAGCATAACTCGAGAAGGCTTATGGATAATCTTGATATTTGGTAGGTGGGTAGGTCATCATAAGACTAAGAGCTCAAAATGATTAGATTTAGGGCCACCTGTTAGCATTTTTATATGGTACTGCAGCAGAACTTCTGCTTTTGATCTGATGATCTGGACATGCTAGGGTCATGAAATATCAAATTTTATAATTTGTCAATCATAAATGTGAAGTTATTTGGCAAAGGAAACTATATTTGTCAATGAGTTTTGCTTTTTTAATCAACGAACATTGAATGCCAGCCTATGCCACTATACCAGTTGCATTGTGTACCTAAGGTAAATATGATATTTTCTTTTAATACAGAACACACGTTGGTATCCTGTTCAGACCGGCCAGAAGATGCCTTCACCACCAATGAGAGAATCCCTCTGATCTTCAACAGACTTGCAGAAGGTACTTTTTTCACAAAATTTCAGGTTTTTTTCTGAACAGGGGAATAAGGGAGCTGCTCCCTCATGAACCCTAAGTGGCTACTTACACAATATTTAGTCTTTCTCAAAATCATCTTTTTACAATAAAGATGTAATAACAATACAACAATGCATTCTAGCATTACAAAATGTGTTACTCTCATAAAAAAATCCCCCTCGCCATGCTTGCCATCTGCTCCCTCATGCTAAATATTAATTTCTAGAAAAAAAACTGTTTTTTGTCAGTTCATTCCATGTTGCCATTCTTACTGATGACTAGACGTTACAGAAAGTTCCTACCGTGTCTTTGTTTCTAACTTAACTATTTTATTCCAATATTATATCTTAAAGGAGTACTAACCTCCAGAAGGGGGTGCTATATTTCGACAGGCATTTATTTTTGGAAGTGAAAAATGCATATTACTTTATAGTATACAATTAAATGCCCATTTTGCGCGCAAGTCTTAAAACGCATCGAATCCAGGACAAACTCTCCAAATACCCTCAAAACTATCCCAGAATACACCACGCTACCGCATTGGTGTCTATGTTTTAAACAAAAAGTTACGTTACAGACCTCATTTCGGGGGTGATAAGAAAAATTCGTACCGTTTTGTGTTCTTTGGTATCTTACCAACCATTGCCCTTCTTGGTGTCCTTATCGCCCCTCATTTATGCCGCAAATATTGACGATGAAAAAAACGGCGTAATCTAGTTATCCTTTCCATAAGTGGCGTAATCTAATTATCTGTTCAAGTAATACTTACATGCAAATAAGTTGAGAAACTCAAAACACACAGGATGAAACTGGCTCCCACTGTATTCGACATCCTGATATTATAGCATCCAAACCGCAGGTCAAGCAAAGTAAAGCAAGTAATTTCTCAATAATCAGCTTGTTAATGTGCTTGTCTCCTACCATTTTCGCCAAAAAATGTTTATGTTGACCTGAAGTGTATGAGTATTGCGTAAGCCAGAATTCCCGGATGTATCAATTGTGGTTCAGCATGGGGGAAAATGATATTAATATCACTTTACAAACATGCGCCGCTCAACTCGTACAAGCGAAATTATGTAAAAAGTCGGTTAGTTATGTATTCATTGCAGCATGATGTATCGGAAAATAGCACTTCGTTCTGGAGGTTAGTACTCCTTTAAATCTTGGAAGTTTGTCTGTGTTGGAAGAATAAATCCCTGTTTCCCTGTGTTGTGTAGACCTGTGGAAGCGAGTGAACCTTCAGCCTCCTGAGATCAGCAGCAGCAGTGGCAGCAGTGAAGATGAGGAGGACTCACAGGAGTACTTTACACACGTTAGTACTAGCAATGCTTGTGAATGATATTGTTCGAACTTCCTATGGCATAGATACAGGAGCACGTCGGCAGAAGGTACTGCGCCTGCGCAGAACCCTGGATTTTCACGTTTTTAGTTGGATTTGTGGTCAACGTTGCATCAGAATTTTCACTGTTGCAGAGGATATCTTTTCTGACACAACATTTGGAAACTACTGTCGAAATGCTAACCTTATATGAGCGAATACGACCTTATATGAGACATTCTGCCGAAGTGCTATGTACAATACATTACGGATTTCGCGCAGGTGAAGTACGTTCTGCCGACGTGCTAGATACAGGGCTCTAGTTAGCTCAAAACTATTTTCTGTCAGCCTAGGTTTATAGTCGCAGCACACAGTATTTATGGGCGAACCCCCTAGTCAAAAGTAGTACATCAGGCACAAAGTAGGTCGGCATATACTTGAGACATGCACAGAGATTCTTTTGTGTATGACAGTGAGGCAGCTACTGTGGTGAAAGGAATACGTTAGGTTTGAGACTGTAAAAGTTGACAAATTTGATCTTTGTTCAGTTAGCGTAGATTTGCGCCTTGATACTGTCACCTGTGTGCTGTGTGCTTGCTGCAGTTCCATGACCTTCCGCATCACGCTTTTAAAGGTGCTCTATGTAGTTTTTTGCGCAAAAAAATCAAATATTCTGAATCTAACATATCTTGGTCTTATTATCATTTACTATCACTTTTCAACACTTTTGCGTCATTAAATTACGTTTCTGGCGTATTTTGTTAGCGCAAAAACAGTCCGCTCGATGCGCGCTCAGTTCCCGGTGGCACCGAGTTGATGCCACCGCTGGAACCAAAACAAACAACGGTTTTCGTTCGGGAATGTTCGGTGAGTTCCGGCTGCGTGACGTCATGACAGGCTAGCCCTCTGAAACAAAATGGCGGGAATGGAGGGCGGTCGAGATCGGGTGAACCGTGGAGGTAGAAGAAGTTTGCTGACCAGTTCCGCCAGGAAAAGGAAGGAGAAGGACAAGTTCCAAAAGCGGGTGTTGTTGGTATAGCAGTAATCGAAGGAATAACGCGATCAAAACAAACCCGGGAACCAAAGGCGAAAACCGGCTGTCAGAATCGAATGTCCCGCGCCCGCGTTAGACCACGTGACAAATCTTCGGGCCGGCTCGGGAGTACTCGGACATGTTCGGAAGTAAACAAACATGGCGAACACCCAGGCGCGCGCGTGCAATTTCTCAGTTTCCTAACCGCTCGTATCGCAAAAATATCGTCTCGCCTCCATGAACTGAATGGTGCAGTGTAACGCGGTAGGGTTTATTCAACTAGCAATGTAAAGAAATGGCCAGAAAATCGACTTTTTGTTTTAAGGTTAGACGGCCAAAAAACTACATAGAGCACCTTTAAAAGATTGTGTCACGAGTGAACAAGTTGACAAACTTAAGCCATTTTCACATATTTTGTACATTATAATATAATATCTTGAACTCAAACATATTCGAGTTCTGTACCTTACTTTTGCACCCTACTATATTTTTCACTGCGTCAAAGTAGGTCACTTTGGGGTTCTTAACTACAGAAATCCCTATAGGCCAGAAGCTGTGTCCTGCTACCGTATAATAATTATGATCGGACCTGGGGGGAGAGTGCTCACAATCTAGTGGGGTCTGAGGGCAAGTTTCAAAACTACTGTATCTTAGTCCCCTAATGTTGTTTTGATTGTGGCCTATTCTTTGTATTTTTCACATCATAGGACTCAGGCGGCAATGACCTTGATGACTATGACCTTGAAGTTGACATTGATGATTACTACAACGACGCTCATGACTTGGTGGAGGAACGGATGCACCCTCAACTGGACAACGACATCAAGTCAGTCGAGCAGAGGTTTGGAGCTCATGCTATCAATACAAGGTACTTACTACATTGTATATACTGCTATAATGGTCTCATTCATGTATTACTCTGAGTGTACCCCCTAAAAGAGTACCAAGTCAAAAACTAAACGGCTGTATGAACGCGTGTTTTTATTGGTGAGAATATTCCCTTTAGCCATCCCAACTGATGTAAAACGTCAAAGCGGTGAAAGCTTGTTTGTAACTGATGAAATTAGGACGTAATTGTCGGCAGCCGCGCGCTAGGTCGGACGTGCACAGTCCATTGTTGTGAGTTGTGCGGTCATAGGTTTGCAGCGCGGGAGGGCCTCTTGCGGACAGCCGCTAAGTGCAGTTTGTGATTTCCATAAAACAGGATTGTGTGTATAGAAGTCGTTGGCAATTTTTTTATGAGATGTAGAGTACGTGTGCTCAACATAGCATGAAAGATATCAATTGATTTAATGTAGGATCATAGGGAACACGGTCTGGTAAGTCACTCATTAATGCATGGTTTCTAATGTATCGAAAAAACTCATGAATGAGACCTTAAGGGGGATACCGGTATAACATGTGCTATAAGCAGGCACAAAACAATTGGTCTCAATTCAATTCTGCACATGCTCAAGTCTATCTATCAGCCATCAGTCTCAAGAGACAGAATTTGACTTTCTTTAACCTCTCAAATGTTTAGTAAGTTTTAGGAGTAAAGAATTTTGCAATGCAAAATGGTGCGAAAAAGTGGCAATTTTCACGTGGATTGAACCCATGCAATTAAAAATCCTAACCAATAATGTAGGGGATAGCTATCCAACTGTTGTTACTTGGTACTATTATAGTATGAAATGTAAAGAATTGCTTTCCCTTGTGTTTCTCCTTTTTTCCCTGCCATTTCGTAAGATGTGGTGAAGCCATCTGCTACATTTGCTCCAAAGAAAATGTCGGCCTTTCTAGTTGCATTAGTGTTTTCTTCTTTTTATTCCAGAATATTCTCGTCTATCGATGATGTGGATGCAGAGCTGAACATTGACATGTCATTCCTGGATGTGAGTTAATATAAGTCTGTTGAGGTTCAATAATTCAAGTAGGGTTGATATTAGTCCCACTAGAAACTGATCCACAATTGGCATGAGAAATAACTATTCTTCCTGTAGTCCTTCCTGTAGTCCCCAATTTAATTTGTTGGCTCTCGGATTCGCTGCTTCATTTTTTTCTGATTTAAAAAAAAAAACATCATGTCAAGCTCTGAATCAACTCCAAAATGCTCATATATGTATTTCGGCCCCAACAGTTGAAGGAAGTCCCCTCTCTTTGTTACAGTTTTTCCATCTATCAATTCAGTGGTTTGTTTAAAAGTTAGAAACTTAAGTCATTGTTTGAATTTCAAACCAGCCCGGTATGTTAACATCATGGCTCCTATAATAGCATTTGGCGCTATCATACATGTAGGATGCCTAGGCCTGTTTTTATTTTTTTTTCGCCCTGCTGCTTCATATTTTTTCTGCAAAAAATCCGAGAACAAACAAATCCAATTGGTGTGGCCTAAGTATTACATTGTACATCATAACATGTAACATGGCAGCCACTTCTATACCACAAACTTATTTGCCGACTTTCTATTTGCTGATCAGCCGCCACCGGCAATGTATAGTTCCATGAACATGTCCATTTTTCTGAGACCGTGAACTTTTGCAATTGCTCACTGCAAACATAAAGTGATTTAAATTACAGTATATAAGGCCATGTTGATTTGATTATATGGATGTCGATTGACATCCTCTGGGAACCCCAAAACTGATGCGCGCGTGCAAATAAAAAAAAAAGCTTTGCAAAAAAAAAAGTTGCTTTCACTATGAAATCTATGTGGTCATGAAGGTTGAACAAATGGCACAGAATATGGTTTGGCGAATAATCTAGTCTTCAAGTTCATTTCTTTACAATTTCGTCTTTTTTCGTTTGATTTTGGCATTCTACGACATTGGTATAGTTTTTAGTAATTTTTTTTGTAACTTATGGTATATTTTTGCTCATTTTGCAACTGTTTTGTACGATTTACAGTATGGTTGAAAACTTTTTTTTTTGGAAACGGCCGAAAATTCATGCGCGCGCGGATGTCATCCATATAATCAAATCAACATGGCCTAACTAGTGAAGGATCGATTCGATTGGCCATAATGGTTGGGTGTGTTTTTGGCCCAGAACCCATAGGTCCTGGGTTCAAATCCACCAACAGGCCCCAATGTTGTGCCCTTGGGAAAGGCACTTTTTACAACTTTCCTCACTTCATTCAGGTGAAATTGAGTACCTAGCGTCATTTAGAGATGTCCCTCAGATAGGATGTTAAATGAAGGTCCCATGTTTGGCGTCTGTGTGGTGTACTGGATAGAGAATCCGACTGTCAAGCAAGGAGACCCAGGTTCAATCCCCAGGGTTGGACCCAGACATGTCCGGACATGCACCCAGACATTGTGCCCTTGGGAAAGGCACTTAACAAGTATTTCTCCCCTCAGTTAGAGGATTCCTGGGCCCTACTTGGTTTTGGTAGGCGTTAGGAAGGGCATCCAGCTTAAAAAAAAAAAGACTTGCCTTTCATGCAAGTACGTCTAACCCCCGTTTCAGGGAAAAATGACATTAAAATTCACTCACTCACTTGGATTTAAAAAATGTTTTGGGAGAGCTACACCCCACACAAGTTAAAGAACCCACCGCACCTTTCAAAAAAGAGTTAGGGACATGCTCCGGTGTGGGATGGCACTACTACCTGAAAGTTGGTGATTCACTACAGAAGAATAGTGTGAAATGTACACTAATGGAGATCCTAGTAAAACCAACCCACCAGACTGTAGGTCGAGCTGTGCCTGTAGTTTAGGAGGACAGTAGATGGCGTTGGCAGTAGTTCTGGCGGAGGTGAGGGCAGCGCGGGCCTTGGGAATGTTCTGCAGGGCGTGGTAAGTCTTACTCTCCAGCAGCTGTACCTCCACCAGCAGGGCCTTATCATCCATCTTCTTCAGCTCACGTAACAACTGGGAACCTGGAACATGAACCTAGTTAGTCATTTACATCATGATTTATTATAAGGCCATACCAATTTAATTTGTTGCTTCTTGGATCACCCTGTCCATTTTTCTCTGATTTGCAAAAAAAAATTTTTGGTTCTAAATCAACTGCAAAATGCTCCATGAAAGACATATTTTGGCCCAAACGGTTGACAAAAAGTCCCTTTCTTCCTAGATCTTAAAGTTTTTCAATGTAACAATGCAATTTTGTTTCATGAAAAGTTCAAAATCTATTGTTTTAATCATAAACCAGCCCGGTATGTTCACTTCAGGGCTTATATTAGTAACATTTCCGTCTATCATGCCCTGGCCTGTTTTTTTTTTAATTCGACCCTGTCGCTTCATATTTCTGAAAAAAATCCGAGAAAACAACTTACAAATTAAATTGTTAGTGGCCTAAATGCTTAGAAAAAAGAATTTTGTTTCCTGTTTCCTGGCCGACCCTAAAAAAACCTGCCGTCCCTAGACCTTTTTTGGGGGTGGGCGTCTGCATTTTTTTCGAGCTGACCAACCTTTTCTAGCTCCTTGATCTGACACCTGAGTGAAATTTGCTAATAAAATGTGTCTGGTACAGGTTATTTTCAATGTCACCTGCATCAGTGCCATCATGCAGAAAAAAGTATTTCAAGCCATGAAATGTAAGTTTCGACTATTGAAATAATTCCACCTAGCAGAAACAGAGTCAATACAACATAACAATGAATATAACTTACCCAGTGCGAGAGCCTCCTCATATTTCTTAGTGTCAAAGTACAGGGCAATTAACCTGGCCTGTAAAACACAAGTCAAGTACACAAGTCAGCAATGCAGCAATGTTGTACATGTACATGTATTCCTTTTTTAGATTAAAAATATAAAGCAGGTCAGCGTGCAAAACACCTGGTTGTCCAGTTGCCCTGGGCAACCAAATTTTACAACCTATTTTTGAACCTAGGTAGCCCAGTGTGCTACCTGAATTTTAAGAATGCACCCCCCCCCCTCCAAAATCATGCCCACTTGGCTTGCACCACTGTATCCGGCAGATGCTTTTTAATTTTAGGTATTAATGGCTATTATCATATAGCCGGGTGACGTTGACCAATCAGAAGGCTCCATTCCACATTCTTTATGTCGCTGTAATGTCACAAATAGAGTCAAAATTGGGTATTTATTCATCCCAATCCATACATTAAACAAAATGAATAATCACCCGCATATGACCTCAGGTGACCCAATAGAACACGGCTCTAGTTCTAAAAATCCAAAAATAACTTGAGTTGTGTTCCGATGACCTCGGGTGACTCCAGATGGAACAAATATTCTATGTTCTATTCAGCATGTGCAAGGGGTAAATTGTACATTGTGTCACTCTTCACTGCATCAGTTTGGATAGGCTATCATGTAAGCTATATGATAATAGCGTTAATGGCCCGCCCTTTCTCGGTGAATATGGTGTGATAAAGCCTTGTCAGTTGCGCTCACTTGGTGGCTTTATTCGGTGGTTATAGCAACTGACATTAGGCTTTATCACACCATATTCACCTCGGGGCGGGACATTAACCCTTAATTACTAGTATCAGTTAACTAAAGGCTGTTAGAAATATTGTCAAAGGCGTATGTATGTAACATTACTTAATTTGAGGAAAGTATTAACTTATAGGTGGCGCAACCTAAAATTCTGATGGGCAACCTAATTTTTGCTGTAGGTTGCCCACTGGGTGTATTTTGTACACTGAGGTACTGTAGCAAGTTAAAAATGAATTGATTATACTCTCTTAACTATTACTACTATTATGTAAATATGCATACTTAGCCACAGATACTAACTGGGATCTGTACTGTAACACTATCAGACCTGGACCTGATCGCCTGACTGACAACAGAACATGTCCTTACCTCCAACGCCTGCCTGAGAAATGTGCGTTTCTCCTGCTTCGCCCACTCAATACATTCTATACACAACTGCACCTGGGGTGGGAGAAACAGGTAAAAAAAGTACATCATTAATTACACGACGAACGCAAACACTTCACTTTCTATTCTCCAGAACACACTTCTTACTTTAATCCTACAAAATTTTTTTTTTGGGGGGGG